AAGAAACTATCACCGCCCATCGCATTCACATGCATGAGAGGAGAACAACTCACTGTCAATTTAAAATTCCTCTCAGTTTGAAAATAACTCACTCGACAACATCCAAAAACAATGTGGTATATATTTGAGTACATAACCGCTCTCATTATATACTCAACCACTCTTTTCCTTCCATATTATAGATTCTCGAGAAACTAATTTCTTAAACAAATTATTTGCACCCGTCGCTTGGCGCGGGTAAACGGCTAGTTAACTTTTACGCACATCGGACTTGACCAAAGGGGAAAAGAGATATTTACTCCCTATCGCTCTGTGAAAGACGCCAGAAAGCATCGCCGCCCACAGCTGCTCCGGCTCTTTCTTCCCACCACGATTGAAGCTGCCGGCGATAATGGAGTCGCCGATACAGCTTATGGACCTCATCCGTGGAGCCGATTTGAGTTTTTTCTCCAGATTTTGGTAAAAAAAAGCCCTAACTTTGAGCAAGTTGTTGTTTGAGGAATCTAATACCATGGAAGATCCGCCGTCAATCAAGTCGTTGTTTGAGTAATACTCAGAAAACGACTTCATGAATGTGGATCACTTTCAGTAGTTCCTTGTTCAGGTTCAGAAACAAGAGAAAACTACCGTGGAGAATGCGCAAGCAATTATGGTGATATCTTCCATCGCACGAGTTTCAATCTCGAGACGTTCTTCAAGTACCTGTTTAGCGACTCTAATCTTACCCTTGATCTGCATCCTACGGTAATTCTAGTTTTCATTGTTGTGATTGATTCGAATTCGTGAAAGTTAACTATAGATTCCTAATTTAGTTGTCCTAAATTTAGTCTGCGTCAAATTATTGTCCTGTTTCTAGAATTGGAACTATTAGCTCTCCATTCTACCTTCTCGAACCTACAAAACTTTCAAATAGTTATAGAAAATGAACGATTACATATGTCGTAATGAAAAAAGTACGTCCTGAAAATATGACAGACATTTTTCGGATTATCATAATTTGATTGTCACCTAACACAATTTCTTCAATATGTATGATAATATATCTTTCTATCTTTCAGGTTCATCATGATATGAATGCTCTATTGTCTCACTATCATATATACTATATTCATTGGACATAATTCCTATCTAACAAGGACATATGGCCCAACTCTAACAAGGACAAGGTGAATGGTCTTCATGGAGGGTAAGGAATACATATCTTATTATATCGATCAAAATTTTAATTTGAAATTTGAACTATTGACATTGATTCTTGGTTATGTTCTGTAGGACATTGACCACTCTAGTTGCACTGATTAAGTGTTTCATATGTATTAAGAATCATGCCTTCACTGCATCCGTTGTAATTATCTCAGTGAGTGATTTATTGATTTTCAGACTTTTTGTTACCTTCTTGAAAGTCTTTTTTGTCTTATACGTTTTACCATCTACTTTGCAGGTCATCAATGGATATGTGAAAACATTGAAGACCATGGTTACAAGGAGTTGTAAAGAGTATTGATTTAATCTTGGTTTTAATGCCGATGAGGTGGCGAAATGTGTGATATGTATTTGTCATTTCATTCTTTACTTTAATGGTAAGCTTCTTTTTAAAAAACTTATTACATTCTGGTTCTCTTATACAAACAGACGATCTTAATTCAATCTGCATGTTCTTGGCATGATGGTTAATTGTCTGTGTGCTTTCAACTCTTGAAAATGGAATCCTACTCTCCTTTACATAAACTGTATCCTTGCAAATTGTATCCTTGCAAATCTCTAATGTTTACTTAATTTTAGTTGTAATTAAGCAATGAAATCAATTTTTGATGTGATTGTTTTTCCAATTTTCACAGGATGATGTATTTCATTTGGAAAAAAACTCTTCCTGATTAAAAGTGGAAAGATGAGTACCCTCAAATAAGAAGGTAAAATTTCATACCCTTAAAATTGTAATCTATCTCTTAACTAGTTTTTCAGATGTATTGACCCATCAAGCAGAGCTGTTGGTTTGACTTTAAATCCTCTATCTTATTCATAACAATGCTCCACAGTCAGTAAGTTTTTTGCACTTAATAAAATCTTAAATTAGTTTGTGTAAATATCGATTGCAAATTTGCAAGTATGCTTCTAGATTTTACGAGTTTCGCCATTAGCCAAAGGTACTCGATAGTCAATACCTTTATGTTAATAAGTTTCATATAACCTGTTATGCAGCTTGTTAAAATTGGAGATATTTTTATGATACAAAAGTGAAAAGAGTTGATAGAGGATCCGACCTACAGTTGGAAATCCCTTCTACTCCAATTCCAACTCCAACATATGTTAATGTAAGTTGATCTAGCTGAAAGAGTTACAACATATGATAATCTTGACCTGAAAGATTTTTTATTACATTATTTTGTCATATTTTAGGTGTTTGTATGAGTCTTTAAAATTCCAGCTTTTGGAAGGGCCTTGCTACTGGTGTTTTAAAGGTTGCTTTCACTTTTTTTAGCAACTTTCAATCATAGATTTAGTCATGCTAATTTTCATGTGTTAGAATGGTCATTTTTTTCATTTTTAGTCTGTGCATTTGCAGTGTCTAATGTCTATCTATCTTGAGTCAGCTCATTTTGCTTATTGGATTCCTTATGTATTTTCTTGAGAGATGAATAGTTAAATTAATATCTGGTGACAAGTATACAGAGCAAAGTGACTCAAGAGGATGATTATTTGAGGTAATTTAACAACTCTAATGTTTTATACATTTACAGTTATTCTTCACCTACCAATTAGTTAAATGAGAAGAGGGTCTCATATAAACCCAAAAACAATCAGGTATTATTCAATATCACTTCTGCATAAATGCCATGTGTTAAATCAGTTCCTGCTCTTGAGAATGATACTAGTCGCAACTAGAGTGCAAAATAAATGTCATGTGTCTAAACAATTTAACTTTGTGTATGTTTATGAAGTGCACATGATTTTTATGGTGTTGGCCATGATTCTTGTCAGACAAGGAACAAACTCGATATGAAGGTTTGTAATTACTTATTATTTATGTTTAAAAAAGTTTCTATTAGATTTTTCTGAGTTCAGTGTTTCTTATTACATTTTTTGCATAGGAGTTGTTTAGAATTACCTATTATTTATGTTTAAAAATGTTTCTATTAGATTTTCCTGAGCTTTGTGTTTTTCTATTACATTTGTGTGCATTTAATATAAAAGAATGTGGATTTTTATGTAATTATTTTCTAAAAAATAAATTTCAATTTAGCGACGGAAATCCGTCGCTAAATAGTTGTATATTCCGTCGGTAATATGTTGAAAACCTGTTCTGTTGGTAATCTGTTACTATTTACCGACGGAAAAAATCCGTTGCTAAAATTTTGTAGTAGCCGTCGGAAATCCGTTACAAAAAATTAGCGACAAGAATATACCGACGGATTTTGGTCTGTTACAATTCCGTCGACGGATTACCAACGGTTTTTGCCGTCGGTAATGCCCTTTTTTTGTAGTAGTGCATGTTGTTTTTGGATTTTCTAAAAAGTGGTTATTGATAGTATCATGTCCTGTTTATTTAAAATTAGTTCTCTGTACTTATATTTGGATTTGGAATTTTGAACTACGGAAAAAATGCACGCCAAAGACAAAGGGAAGAAGAATTTAGAGAAGGACTCGGCATCATAATTCCTTTAACAAAACCTTGTCAAATCATTGTTTTAGTTATCTATATATTCAATGTTTTTTTTCATTGAATATGAGTTTGTTTTGATGAAAACAGGAGCGGACGCAGGATCTCCTACTATGCGTAGTATGAATTTTTTTTAGCCCCCCAAAGCAACTCAAAAATATAAATAATAGTTTTTTTTTTTTTTTTTTTTTTTGAAATATTGGGGATATTGCTAAATGTGTTATTCAAACACTATCAAGAACTCCATTTCAAGTAATAGCAATGTACTTAGACTGATAGTTTCATGCATTTCAAACCTAGCCGGTAATACTAAGTTGCTATTACACTACAAGGAAAATGATCATTAGCGGCGACAAAAGTCGCCGGTAATAAGCCAAGATGTCGCCGGTAATGGTAATAGCAGCGACGCGTCGCCGGTAATAAGTCGCCGCTACTACTTCGTCGCTATTGATGAACATGTCGCCGCTAATGAAGGAGTCGCCGCTAATGATATGTGTCGCCGGTAATAAGTCGCCGTTACTTGAAATGAATTATTTCCTGAAGTTTTTCCTGTTTAGATATTTGACTTTATTATCTCTATAACATTCCTTTATATTTCATTTTAAGGGTATTTAGACATTTGACCGACTTTATATTTATCTGTATAAAATACAAGGACTAAATAGGCAAAAATGACAAAAAAAAAAAAACCAAGTTCTTATCACCACCTATTTCTATAAAGTTGGTTTCTATTAAAGATTAACTTTACAAAGTTGGTGGCTATTTATTGTAACATTACATTTAAACAAAAGAAAAAATTGTCATTTTGTGTTATTTGTCTTTGTGTTTGATTAGTTATTACGATTTCGAATTAGTAATAGTGTTTTTTTTTTCACAACCGTGGTTTTCATGGTTTTAAACCTAGTAATTAGAATAAATTGATTTAAATAAGTTATAAGTTATTTTAGATAAGTTACAACTATCTAACTTACCAAAATTTAATTAAGTTAATAAACATCTTTAGTTTTAATATGTTTAAACACTGAAAACTACTTGTTAAAAATGCCAAATTATAATAAGCAAATACTCGCCCTAAATAAAATCTCAAAAACCCCAAAACTAAGTTACTTGAAATACCAATAACCCAACCACTTTTTTTTTAATTGGATTTCGGTTTCTCTCTCATTTTCTAATACCAATCATATTTAACCGATAGATTTTCTAATACCAATCATATATATTTAACCTATAGTAGTTTGTTTTTATTTAAGTATATAACCATTTTGGATCTTAATTATATTCTGGATTTTATGTATCAATTCCGTCTATGAGACAGTACGTCCGAATTCCAATAGCTTCCTGGCTAAATCGAATTGTGATTTTTAAGCTCTGAGGAATTGTTATCGCTGCAAATTGAGTCGGCGTACTCCTCCACCGGGAAATTTGTCTTCGCCTTGTTTCCTCTATAGTAAATATTGGCAACGTCATAAGCTCTGGCGGCCTCTTCTGCAGTCTCGAAAGTCCCCAACCACTTCCGTTCTTTCGTCCCCGGAACCATTATCTCCGCCGCCCATTTCCTTGACGGCCGGAGACGAACTCCTCTGTAAACCTTCATCGTTCTCTTTCCCATCTCTTCTACACCACCGCCGGTGAACATTTCACAACCCAAACATTGATCTGGGACTCGCATTTTACATTTGCTACAGACTTCCTGCCCCACCGACGACCGCTGACTTCGAGAATTACTCAAAACACCACTGCTTGTAACGGTGGCGTTGCCGACGGAAATGACATACCGCAGTGCTGAAACAATGGCGGAATTCTCGTCGTCGATAATGATGAAGTGATTATCCATTTTTTTATGGAGAACGGATAAAGTGGTTCCTCGGCGGCGAAATTTATAACTGGGATTTGTAGTGGTCGGCGTTGGAAGGTGGAAGCTCCCGTGGCAGTTTCAGCCACACGCCCGGAGTGACAGCTACGATCCTTGACAACATAGTACTACATCTCTGTCCTGTCGGTTTTACTATTTTACATTTAAACCCCTTTTTTTATAGCGTTTTTCACTTTCAGTCCCTCTAGTGTAAATTTTTTGATGCTATAGTTTTGTTTATTACTTTCTTTTCGCAAGAAGTTGTTCATCAATCGATGGGTAAATATAGGTGATTTTTGATTTTTCTCCAACATTATAGGTTGTTATCCACATCAAAAAGAATCTTCATACATCAATAAAACGTGCTATTATATAAACAAAAGTGTAACCTGTTGGAACAAAACTACACAGTAGGGCTACATCTTTCTAACATCTTGCCTTCTCATTCAATACAATAGCATACAATATATATATATATAGAGGATTCAAAACACGTATACCTAGTCAAAAGCAACAAAATAAGGAGCTAACTAACTAACCCCTATCTAAACTATTCTAAAAAATATGCTAAACAAACGTGGCCTACATGGCCTTTACTTATTCAAACTCTACTAGAAAGACTAAAATACCCTTAAAGATAATCACGCGATTGACTTAGTTTGGATTAACACAACATTCTCCCCCTTAATCCAAACTATTTCTGTCAAACCTCTTTCTTGCTATCTCATTCTTGCTTCTTTCATTTTGTTTCTTGTTTGCTACTTGCTACAAACCTGAAACTTTCTACTTGCAATGATTGTCTTGCCTGCTACCTCCGGGATCAAACCATCACAGCCGGACCTTCATCTGTCAACACCACTATGAGCCATTAACTTCATAGCAGAGCCGGAACACACCACAACCAAGAACCACCCTGTTTTGATCCTATTTCTTTCTTCTTATCGAGCCTAGTCATATGAGTTTGCAATCGGCCTTCTCCTTCTTGCTAGGAACCAGGTATGAGCCTGGTGCTCTGATACCAATTATTGGAACAAAACTACACAGTAGGGCTACATCTTTCTAACTTCTTGCCTTCTCATTCAATACAATAGCATACAATATATATAGAGGATTCAAAACACGTATACCTAGTCAAAAGCAACAAAATAAGGAGCTAACTAACTAACCCCTATCTAAACTATTCTAAAAAATATGCTAAACAAACGTGGCCTACATGGCCTTTACTTATTCAAACTCTACTAGAAAGACTAAAATACCCTTAAAGATAATCACGTGATTGACTTAGTTTGGATTAACACAACATAACCTTCATGTAAACACGATTATATGAACGTAGGCCCGACCTTGACATGTTGGAGGCCTTGTGCGGAAATCAGAGTGAGGCCCTGTAAAATTTTTCTTGTAAAATATTATTAAGTAATTTTTCTATTACTAAATTCAAAACTCAAAGTTGCTAACAAACATCTCATAAATTCATTACAATAACATCATGTATCCACTCATTAGATGTTCCAGTTTCTAAGATGATACATGTTAATTAGAATATCTTCTTTCTCATCATGATTACCATTCAAGGTCTATGTCTTCATCTACACAAGACATATCTTCTGGTACTTGCATTAACATTCTTCTTCCCTAGGTTCTTCCACAACATCATCAACTTCTTCTCTAGGTTTTTCCACAACTTTATGAAATTCATCCATATTTTCTAGCACATGTGATTCAACTTCTTCTTCTCTATGTTCTTCCATATCTGATTCTTCATTACGATGGTATTTTGACATTTTTTTGACGATAAATCGATTGATAGATCCTCTTTGACTATGAATAATTTGTTATTTTATTGTTTTCTTTTACGTTTAGAACAATCCGATTCAAATTTCCTGGTTAGAGGCATCTTTTTATAAAAAAATAATAATTAATGTTAGTAACATAACAATATATATTTGTAATATTGTTCAAAAGTTAATGTTTAAAACAGTTAGAATATCAAACAAAATTCTTGTTTTCTAACCTTTCTAGGTATTATACTATATTATATTAATATTAGAAACCAAAAATGGAAAGACCATTGTCACCCTCCCATACCCCCACCCAAACCCCTTTATACCAAGCATTAAAAAGCTAAAGGTATAAAGCATAGTGATAGAGTAACAATTTACAAGACACTATACTATATACATGGAACAACTAAGAAAATTGTTTTGTTTACTTTATCTACTTCATTGTTTATTAACTTCATTATGAATTCATAAATAAACCATTCAAATAAAAAGGAACATTTAGCCCGTCAGAGAAAGTAGTTAATCACGTGTGAGATTTGAGAAATTTAAAGAGAAAAGAGATACTAACTTGTAGTTTGACAGTCTGTTAGATATCAAGATTCAAGACAAAAACTGGCAGTTTTGACGAGAGAGACGAACACCACCGACGATCTACTGATAACTTTATTAGGTTTGTTAGGATTTGATCTTTTGGTTAGTTTTATAAAAACTATAACATTTGCTTGAACTTATAGTAGAAACATATATGTATTTTTTTATATAGACACTTTCCTTAAATTGGTGATAAATGTTACTTTTAAGATTGCAACCAAATGCTACATTGTGTATATAGTTAGTTGCTAATTTTATTTAATAAAAACACATAAAAATGTATTTTATGAAAAATACCAACACCAATACTATGTATTTTTCCTAAATTCGAAGGCCCCTTAAAATTTGAGGCCTCAAGCGACCGCACCACTTGCACACCCCCATGGCCACCACTGCATGAACACATATTCAAAAAACATAAATCGGATGTATTTAAATTTTATAAAAAGAGTTAGAGCTTTAGATTTTATGGGCAGATGACACAAAAGTCATTAACTTTTTATTTTTATTTTTTTCGATTTTGACCCCGCTATTTTTTTTATTACAATTAAGTCACTATGTTTTCAATTTGTTCGTGATTTTAACACTAAGTCTTTTTTTTTTTTCATCAAGTTTGACACTAAGTATTCAATTTTGTCCATTTTGCAACATAAATGACATAAATATATGCAAAGACATAATTGCTTCATTTACCCTATAATATAATAAATTATATGTATAATAGATTAATAAAAGAATATAAATGAAATAAACATATGTAAAGATATAATTGTTCCATTGTTTATACTTGCTTTTCTTTCTCTTTTCAAACTCATTATCACTCTCTTTAAATGGGTTTTTATCACTTTCTTCCGACCACCAAGAACCTCAAAAACTACGGTTCGTGGGCTATCATCATCGGAGAAACTGACGGCATCAACAAAGCCTTTGCCTTCCAACCAGCTCAAAAGGGTTTTCACCTAATCTTGGTTAGTAGAAACCTATCCAAACTTAAAGAAGCTTCTGATGAGATTGTATCGATGCACCCAACCAACAAGATCAAGATTTTCACTGTTGATTTTTCCGATGAGTATATCAAAGCGTAAGTTGGTCGTTAATTATCTCTTTCTTTCTTTTAATTTGATCCATGGTTCTCTCTTTCTTTTTTAAGATCAAATTAAAGGCATATATAGTTTGATTTTAAGTCAAGTAACATGTAATAGGAATGTTTTTACGAGCAAAAAGCAGACATGGTTTTGAGTTATGTAAACAAGTTATTTACATACACGAGGCAAAGTCAGAGAAACGAGGGAAGAAAGACAAAAGAAAGTTAGTAAAAGTACTCCATCAAGGAATAAGTGAAACCCAAAGAATATATAGTATGACAAATTTAGGTTCTATAGTTGAAATCTTAATTACAAATATAGGATAAACAAAAACTACATACAAACGAAGATCTTCATTGATGGGTGGGAAAATTGGATATGTTTATTTCATTTATGTTGCGAATTGGAGAACATCGAAAACTTAGTAAAATTTGAAAAGTTGAAAACGTAGTGTCAAAATCACAAAAAAAGTAAAAACATAATGACTTTTGCGCCACTTTTTTTCGCTTCTAACACGTCATCAGTAACAACCGGATGACCTGAAGCAAACCAGTCAACATGTCAGAATTGCAACAAATTAAAAACATAATGACTTAATTGTAACAGAAGAAAACGGTGTCAAATAAAAAAAAAAGTAAAAAGTTTGTGACTTTTATGTCATTTGCCTACATTTTATCTATAAAATAATATAATTTGTCTATAAAATAATTTGAAATTGACAAAAAAGTGTCCAAATTTCGTTATACAGTTATCAAAATTGACTTATTTTATTCATTCCTATATTTTTTTTTTCTTCTCTTTCCTTAGAGTTTTATTAGCAATGTAATGATTCATTAAGTAGTGGCTCTTCATAATGGTTTTTTCTCTTTTAGGTTTCCATTTTATAACGTTGTGTTGGTATAATTGTTTGATTGTGTTTATTCTCTGTCGTTTATTTTATAACAAAGCTAACCAATCACATAGTTTACAAATCTCCTTGGGTTCACTTGATTTAGTAATTAAAATATAACGAAAACAAAACAAAAATGTAGTCGCATTGTGGGAATTCAAAATTTGGTGTTTGAATTTGATCTTTATGCCCTTTCTATCATTTTCTCAATGTATCTATAAAAAAAACTCAACTAATCTCTAATATCCTCCACATAAGTTATTGGTAATATATTTTTGAGATAAGTATTTTCAACATTTCAAATAGTTGGGAGCCAAATCCTAACAAAGAAAGAAATGTCAGGGGTTATACTGTAGTTTGAGTGACAAATGGGATACCCTAACAAATGCATACTACATCCCTTTCATACACGTATTACAGTTGTTATAATAAATAAAAAAACAAACAAACACACAAACAAACAAACAAAATTATACCATTATGTGTGCTTCTAATTAAAGATCCTCACAGTACCATCTTTTTCCAAAAAAAATAAAATCTTTCAAAAAGTTGCAAAAAACACACTCGATGATAATCATCCATAAAAAATATTTCAACCATTATATACAATCTTGAACTTTTGGGGAAGGACTA